GGTAGTTTAAATTCATAGTTTTGAAAGTAGGTTGCTATAATAGTAAAACGTAGATCTTAAGGTGCATGTACACTTAGGGTTATTTTAATTGCTTCCGTTGCATAAATTTCGTGTATAGATGCATAGAAAACCCGACAATTAGTTCAGACCCTTTTCTCATCTCTTATTCTTGAACCAGCATTGTAAGGACTTTTTTTTCAAGTGTTATATTTTAACAATCATATCATCAAGCACCATGTGTATGCCCTAATAATATTGAAGTGTAACTGCAATTAAGGTTGTTAAAATCATTATTATGATTGTAAGATTGTACGATCCTATGATCCCATCTAGATAAATCGATATTGATCATACTTGGATTGTTTTTAGGTAAGATAGAGGTTAGATCGTAAGATCAATACTATTTTTTTAAAAGTTATAATATTTTATCTTGGGCTAACTAAGTAGATCACATATGAACCTTAGAAAACCCCTTTTGAATCGATTATCGTTAAACGATGCATTGAAGATGTATTTTTCATGTTTTAAACTATTTATTGTTAACTGAATGGTTAATTGATGGATGTAAACATATTTTTCATGTTTCAAGATGCTTTTGGTAGGATCTTACGATCATGAAATGATCTCAATGACGAATTCTGTAACACTTGTTAGTTGTCACAACTGTGAGAGGAGGTTGCTAGGAAGAGGTTGCCAGATGCTAATTTAAAATAACATAGTTAAATTAAAAGTTAAAATTAAAATTGATCAAATACTATAAAACTACTTACTACTTTGTTTGTTAATTTAGGTTAGAGGGAGTAGCTTGAGCACCTACTCGATGATACCCACCTAGGCAAACATCGGCCCTTGAGTTTGGCAGGTTGAGTTTGACGAGCTAACCCGGTAACATGTCGGAGAGGAAATAGAGCCTCTATTCTTCCTCTTGTCTTCTCCCCATTCACCCATCTCTTCTCTTTCTTTTTATTTCCCAACTCGTCAATACCTAATCCCTAGAGGTGGAGGGTTGTTTGGCTAAAGTGGAGCTAAGTAAATTCAACATTATTTCTCTGGCCTTTTAATAAAATAATAACATTCTTTATGTCGACAATAACTAATGAAAAAAATGTATTTAAGCAATCCAAATATTTGGAATTAATGGCTTTCGTGTAAGGTGCTGTTTGTTTTTCCGAAGTGAAACTGTCTGAAGTCTGCGGACCACCTCTGCAGCCCTCTTCAGCAGAAGAGGTGGACCAAAGTGCTGCAGACTGTAATGAGAAGCATGTTTGTTTTTTTAACATCTGCAGATATTAAAAAAATTTAAAATAAAGTAATTTAATAAACTGAAGATAGTTTTTTAATACCAAAAATTTAATAATAGTAGTCTTAAAACATTGAAATAAAATTCAGACAACCAAATTAGTCTTATAATAACATTTTTAAATAAAATTCATAGAACCAAACTTTAATAATTTTCATTCCATATTTTGCATCAATTGTTCGGCAATTCATCCCGTAACTGGGTCATATATTCACGGTCCGCTGCAGTACCATGTGTTGGAATCTCATCTTCATCATTATCAACGACTGCATTGTTATTCCGAACCGAGACATTTGGTTCATCATATCGTGCAAAAAACTCATCACGTAGTCCCTCTCTTCTTATAAAATTATGAAGCGCAAAACATGCTAGGGTAATGTTTCGTTGTGTAACCAACGAGAATGGTGCCATCCTCTTCAATATAGGGAATCGTGCTTTCAAGACACCAAAAGCCCACTCAATGACATTCCGAAGTTTTGCGTGTGCATGGTTAAATTTTTCTTTATTCGTTAATGCACGTCTTCGACGGAAATCTCCAAGCCAATACCTCACATTACGGTACGGTGCCATAAAACCTCGAATGTTTGCATAGGCGGCATCACAAAGATAATATTTATCTGTAAAAAACAAAAAAAAGTCATTTATTTTTCAAGCTAAGATAAAACTATTTAAATAACCATAAATTTACCTGGTGGTGGAAGCAGGAATGGTGCATGTGGATTTGCTAATGCTTTTGATAAAATCTAGAATCGTGTGCTATCCCTTCCCAACCGGCCACAACAAACGTAAACATCATGTTGAAGTCACATATTGCCAATACGTTTTGGTAACAATCGCCTTTTCCCCTACTTCTATATAAATCCCATTTGTTTGCAGGGACAACAACATGTATCAAAGTGCCATCAAGTGAACCAACTGCTCCCTTGAACACCCGCCGTAGCCTCCTATTATGTCCCGAAATGTTTGGATTCGGATTAAAAGAAGTTGACACTATAATGTCATGTGCGAAAAGCAACATTTTGTCCAACACTTCATGAAAAAACTTATGAATTGTTTGCTTTGAGTGTTGAAATCTCCGCTTGATAATCACATAACGTTGGTTATGACCGATCATCATAAAAAACATAGCCATCTTCTCCTCAACCGACACATGTTTGCTATCCTTTAACGCGTAGTTTACTCTAAAATGAGCACATAGCCGAACAAATGATTCACGGGACATGCGTAGCACTTCAAGACATTGTAGAGGATTACGGTGAAGTAACTCTAACGTAAATTCATGTCCCGTCATTTCCGAATCATTGTCCCGCACTCGTTTGACACCCCTCTTCCAAAAGTAGTGGACGTACAAGTACATAAGAATTATGAGTAGTATCTTTTTGTCGTGATCCATTACAAACCTACTAATCAACAAAAAATAACATAACATAAGATAAAAACATAACATAAATCTCAAGTACGAAAAAACATAAAATAAATTTCAAGTAGCAAATAACCAAAAAACATAACCATATAGTTCCAATAACTAAAAATAACATTCATCCTCTTAATATTCGTGGATCATTAGGCAAATTTACTCACATCTCTCTCATATTCATGGTCCCTCCAAAAATGTGATACGCAACAAATCGTAGAGGGTCTATTGGGTCTAACTCAAGCAACTCAAGCTTCTCTAAACATTGGGGAATTGTTGGCCCTTGAGTCAAATGGCGTAGAGCTTTTTGCATCTCCAGTGCTAAATCATCAGCAGTAATAGAAGCTTTAGGCGAGGCAGAAGAAGGTGGATCAGGTGAGGCACTAGGAGCTCGAGGTCTAGGAGTTGAGGGTTTAGCCCTTTTGTTGGGGTTACCAGAAGGTGAAGCAGCAGAAGGTGAATCAACAGAAGGTGAAGCAGTAGAAGGTGGAGGCTGAGTAAAATGCTCACTAGTATGATTGGAAAAGAAATCATCCTCATCTATGTTAATGGAAGGGGCGTCCATAAGATGTAGTGGTGCGACATGGAAAGAAGATGATCCATGTCCCGATGGTGTTTGGGATGTGGCATAGCTGAGATTACCAGATGCACTGTTTCCATCAAAGAGTTCTGCACAAAGCTCTGGAAACAATAATGGGACGGTTTTCAAAGAAGCGGCTTTCGGATGTCCCTAAACGTAATCAATGTAAGAAAAGTAATATAATAATAAATGGCAACTATATAAACAAAATACATATAAATATGTGTGTGTATATATACCTTTTTAAAGTCCTCCCACTCCTCATTTGTTAAGTTAAAAGTATTTGTTTGTGGACTGTAAATGTTTCCAGTTTTGTTTTTTAAGTATAACCATCCTGTGTATTTGGCTTTAAGGTTATCATAAGCGTTTTTTAATTGTCGTTGATTCAAATCCACGCCATACTTTTCCTTAATGGTTGTTCCTAACTTGTGCCATGATTGTTTGTGCAGACTCAAACCTTTTCTACCCACGGTTTGTACTTCTTCAATACAAGTGAGCAATAAGCATTTTGTTTGCTCATTGGTCCATGTATGTTTATCTCCCATTGCTAATAACAAAAAAATATAGAATACATACTTTAGCAACAAAGATTAATCATATTTCAACATAATCAACAAATACGTTTAGCATATTCAACAATTTAAGCACAAACTTGTAAATAAGCATAAACTTGATCTCCATTCAAGAAATACAAGTGATAACAATTCAACAAATAAGTTTAAAAAAACCATTTGAGCTAATGATTTCTGCATATAAACTAGCGTATGAGTTTATGATTTCAGCATATAAGTATATGATTTCAGCAAGGATTATGATTTTACCCAACATTCATAACAATTCAACACAAAAATTCATGAACCTAAACATAAATCATGGCTCTAATTAAAGAACAAAACACAAACTCCTAGAATTATAACAAAGCACTAAAGCTGAATTTTAACTCAATTTATGGCTCTAATATCTCTAACTGCTAGAATTATAACAAAACACAAACTTCTCTCTTATAGATCATGGTGGATCTGTTGAAAAACAGCCAATTATGTCTTTATGAAACCATTAAAATCATGAGATTATCATCTTTTTCTTCAATCTTATTTCACAGTTTCAAAGTTTCAGAAAAATGAATAATTCAAAGTTTCAAAGTTATTTCACAGTTTCAAAGCTTATTTCACAGCTTCTCTCTTCAATCTTATTTCACAGCTTCAATTTTATTTCACAGTTTCAAAGCTTATTTCACAGCTTCTTCATATTTAGGTACTCAATTAAGAAATCAGGAAAAAAAAAAACTAACCTGTTGATGTGATGTTGAAGACGATGGCAGATGGAGGATGGGGCAGCGAAATCGGCGACCAGCAGCAGCAGCAGCGAGCGGCGACCGGCAGCGGTGAGCGGCGCTGGGATTTCTTTCGGTCTTCAACAACGTCGACGCCAAGAGAGAACGAAGGGAGAACGAAGGAGGACGTTGCGGCTATGCTTTTGTCCGTGTCTTTTTTTTTTGTTATTAGGTTTAGAAGTGGTGAGAAGAGGCAAGTCCAATGCTGCGTGGGGAAGAGGACGGGAAGAGGTTTTTGAGCCCGAAGCCTTCTAAAAATCAAACTGCTGCGAACTTAAAAGTGTTGCGCGTGTGCTGCGCCGCGCAGCACTAAAAGGTTAGAAGATGATTTTTAAAAAAACAAACACAACCTAAGAGACAGCCATTTTTTATTCTAGAATTGAATGGAATAACGACAATATTTTTCTCAGCTAGGCACAGCACTCCTCCGCACTTACCATCTTCGCCCCAATTTCAATTCAAATCTCACTTCATTCTTAAATTACTGCTTAAATCACACCTAACGTCTTCTGGGTATCATCTTCCTCATCGATATCGATCCGATCTGATCTGATCTGATCGATTAAGATCAAGAAAAATGGCGATGGCGAGGGCAAGCTCTGGCCTCGCATACCCAGATCGTTTCTTCGCCGCCGCTACTTACGCCGGCTTCGGTGGCTCCCCCAATTCATCTTCCAAAGGGGTCACCTCCAAATTCTCTAACGACGTCGCTCTTTTGCTTTACGCCTTGTATCAACAGGTTTTTATTTTGCATTCGGTTTCGTTTATGAGCATCTTTCTCCATAATTCTAAATTGCTCAATTTTCCCGAAATCATTTCAATTGATCTAACAATATTTGTCTTCTATTATTAAATTACTTGCTTTGAACTTCATTAGCTCTGGGTTTATTGTTATTACTAGGAAAGGTATTAGATAAGGTTGCTAATTTGCTATGTGTTTTATACAATTGGGAATTTTATTGTTTCGGATCGCAAAAACGAAAATTTAAGTGTGCTTTGTGATTTTTTTGTTTCTTTTGCTATTGATGTGAAATGATAGATCCATCGTAATACTACAATTGTGCTTGCATTAGCTACAACCTCCAATGTAATTTATATTGAATATCTGTATGTGATAAACCCCTCTTTCAAGAGAAAGAGTTAGAACCTGATTTTGACCTCAAACCTAGTACTTTAAAATCAAAGCTTTGGTGTCAATTATTCATTTTCAAATGGAGTGAATGGCTGCAACACAGTGCAGAATGTTAACTTTAGGAATTTTGGATTGAGAATCTTGTGGAACCTGATGATAATTGAACTTGCATACTCTTAGCTTGATTCTAAATTCAAATATGTTTTATGAAAGCTAATGATAATTTTGCAATTGATCACATTGTTTTCATGCTTTACTGATTTATCATCTCAGTTAAATTAATGGATCTAAATTTTGTTTCAAATCAGGCAACTGTTGGACCTTGTACCTTACCAAAACCAAGAGGTTGGAGTCCTGTGGAACAAAGCAAATGGACAAGGTTTGTTTATATCATTCAAGCTACAAAATCCATAAGCAATCTCATTTACTTAAGTCTAAACCCTAATATGAATCAAGCCTTTTGCCACTCTTCATTTCAACACTCGTTCTTCATACCCAATTTCATTTCTATTTCAAGATTACATTCTTCATACCCAATTTTATTTCTTATTTCTTTTGCAGTTGGAATGGTCTTGGAAACATGGCTTCCATTGAAGCTATGCGCCTCTTTGTGAAAATATTGGAGGTATATTTTACATGATATATATCTTAAACTGGAATATATATAATTATATATCCTCTAGAATCTTGATTACTTTTGTTTTATGTTTATCTTTTGAGTAGGAAGAAGATCCAGGATGGTATTCAAGGGCAGCAAACTATATCTCAGAGCCTGTTATAGATGTAGAGATGAATGTGAGTCTACAAAACCTTTTGCTATTTCTAGTATAACTTATAACAACAATCCTTTTGTAAATAAATAGGATATGCTATAATGAACAAATTAATAACATTTTAACTTATCTAGTGTCCTTTTGTGATGTAGCATGATCCAAAGGCAGATTTATCCATCAAGAATGAAATTAGTTTACCTGAAACAAAAAGCATTCCTACTGAAAATGGGAACTCTGTAGAAACTCATGATAAAGATATAATGGTGGAAGGATTTGGATCTGTTAGTGTTTATGATCAATGGGTTGCCCCTACTGTATCTGGGACCCGCCCAAAGCCCAGATATGAGGTATTTGTTATAGCATCCTACTTCCATTTATTCATATTACAACATTCTTTTTCTTTTATTTTACCTTTTTTCTCAACTTCTGAAATTGACAGCATGCAGCAGCTGTTATTGATGATAAAATGTATGTATTTGGTGGAAACCATAATGGGCGTTACCTAAATGATCTTCAAACACTTAATTTACGAAATTGGACATGGTCAAAGGTTGAAGTCAAACCAAATTCCGAGGCTCCAGTCATAGTAACTCCTTGTGCAGGGCATTCTTTGGTCAGTATCAAGATCTTTTTTTTATAAAAAATTATCGAACAATGATTTTATGAATTTATAAATAATTTTCATTTTTGATTTTGTAGATACCTTGGGAAGGGAATAAGCTTATATCAATTGCAGGACATTCAAAGGATCCTTCTGAAGTTGTTAATGGTTTGTTTGAATTTGATCCTTGTTTGAATTTTTACTATCAAACATAACTTAATTGCAATATATAGCTATTTGTTCTTATATGTATAGTTATATCTTTTTAATTTTATTGAAACAGTGAAGGCATTTGATCTGCAAACGAATACTTGGTCAACTATGAAGACCTATGGAAAACCTCCTGTATGTGTTCTCAATCTTTTTCCATTAGTTTTTATTTCCATTAGACATTAGCATCAAACAATATTCCAAAACTATAAAAATTATACACATGAAAAGTAAAATATTATTACTCCGAATATGCAACTTTGTTTATGCATTGCATAAATGATGTCTGTTTGGAGTAAGTTTTATATGAACAAATTTTGTTTCTTTTTTGGACCGAATGAAAGTAAAATGACCATTTTACCCTTCTCAACAAATTCGGCAAATTTATGCAAGAAATCAAACAACAAAATTCAATCATTTTTAAACGTATTTCTTTTTTTGTGTTACTATTGCAGGTTTCACGTGGAGGTCAATCAGTTACAGTTGTGGGGGGTACTTTAGTCATTTTTGGTGGACAAGATGCAAACAGAACTCTCTTGAATGACCTTCACATTCTAGACTTAGAAACCATGACCTGGGATGAAATTGACACAATGTAAGTTAACAAAAATGGCCTACTTTTTTATTATAGCATCATACTTTCATTTCTTCTTATTATAAAGATATTATAAAAACTTATAAAACACAAATAAATGAAAGTAGATTGGTATTTATTGCAGAGGTGTGTCACCTTCTCCAAGGTCTGATCATGCTGCAGCTGTGCATGCAGAGAGATATCTTCTAATATTTGGTGGTGGAACTCATGCAACATGTTTCAATGATCTTCATGTTCTTGATTTAAAAACTGTGAGATAACATAACATAACATAACATAACATAACGTAAATCATATATGATGTTTTAATAATATCCTTTTGTTAAAATTAATTATATTATGGATTTTTTTTTATAGATGGAATGGTCAAGGCCAAGTCAACAAGGAGAGATACCAAGTCCACGAGCTGGCCATGCTGGCGTCACAGTTGGCGAGAGTTGGTTCATTGTGGGTGGTGGTGATAACAAGAGTGGTATGCATAAATTATAATGTATTTCAGAATTAAACATTTAAAAACATGAATTTCTTTTTCTCTTTTTCTTTTTCTTTGGGTGATGTAATTAAATTATTGCTATATTTTGTAGGAGTTTCGGAAACCGTTGTCCTTAACATGTCTACTTTGTCTTGGTCGGTTGTAACAACTGCTGAAGGACGTGTTCCTCTTGCCAGTGAGGTATTTTATTATTATTATTATTATTTTTGCAAGAAATATTAATTTTATGATTTTCTTTGGTTCAAGATAGGATATGACAGAACAGAACAGGCTGTACTGCGTTTGACATGCACCAGACTGGGATTGAGACCGAGACAAAAAAAAATTGCAATTTCTTGTCCCACTCAAAAAGGTGGGACATGGATTCACTCTCAATCTCTTGTATGTGCAAAAAGACATAAATGCCCTTCTCATCCTCATTATAGAAAATAGCCCTAGAAAGCCTGTGTAGTCTAGTCCCATCCCATGTAAGAAACGCAGCTTCGGCTGCGTTTCTTACATAGGACTCGATTGGACAATACTGGATAAGCTTTCTAGGGCTAGTTTCCACGATGAGGATGAGGAGGGCATTTATGTCTTTTTGCACATACAAGAGATTGAGAGTGAGTTCATGTCCCACCTTTTTGAGTGGGACAAGAGATTGCAATTTTTTTTTTTTGTCTCATTGACTTCGGTCTCGGTCTCAATCCCAGTCCAGTGCATGTCAAACACAGTATAGCCTGTTTTGTGTTATGCTATGAAATAAAGAAGGCATTGAGAAATGAAATGATGCCAAGTGTCAATATGATATGTGTAGGGGTTGAGTTTGGTGTTGAGCTCATACAATGGTGAAGATGTTTTAGTTTCTTTTGGAGGATACAATGGGCGATACAACAATGAGGTAGGAAGTGAAGTGAAGTGAAACTTCATATAATGCTCATAAATCAAAATTCCTGTTTTCTGATGTTTATTATTATTAATATTAATTAGGTGAACTTACTGAAACCAAGTCACAAATCAACTTTGCAAGCAACTATGTCAGCAACACCTGCCCTTGATAGTGGTTCTGGTGTACAAAATGCAACAAATGGCACTAGAGATGTTGAGTTAGAGTTTGAAGGTGGTCAAGATGGAAAAATTAGGGAAATCAGTATGGATAATAATAATAATCATAATGAACCACAGGTAACAATATTAATTATTATTAGTTGTTGTAAATAAATATGTTTGTTACAGTTTACAAATACAATTAATTGTTGCAGACAAATGAAGTTGAGGAAGTGAGTGAAGGTTTCATATCTAGGCTTAAGACAGAAAAGGAAGAACTAGAATTGCAACTTAATAAGGAAAAATCACAATCACTTGAACTTAAACAAGAACTCATAGAAGCTGAATCCAAGAACACAGAATTATACAAGGTAAAAAAAAAAAACTTAACTTTTATTATTGACATTTGACAATAAAAATCCAACTTCATTTGTGAATTATTTACAGGAACTTCAGTCTGTACGTGGTCAACTTGCTGCAGAACAGTCAAGATGTTTTAAACTAGAGGTAACTGAATGCAAGAAATAAGAAGCTATTTCTTATTTATTTGAGTGTTTTTTAATTATGAAATGATGAAAAATAAACAGGTGGATGTTGCTGAGTTGAGACAAAAGCTACAAACAATGGACACATTACAGAAAGAACTTGAAATCCTTCAAAGACAAAAGGCAGCTTCAGAGGAAGCTTATGCGAAACAAAAACAGAGCTCAGGTGGAGTATGGGGTTGGCTAGCCGGGCAGCCGCCCCTACCTGCCCAAAAACCAAATAACGGTTCATAATTTAGATACATACTCTGATTTTATTATGTTCTAAATCCCTTTGAAATTCATCATCCTTTTTTTTTTTTTAATATATATAATCTTGTTTCCTTTTTTATTTTGATTCGGCATAAGGTATTTAGAATTTGGAGTTTGCCATATAGATAAATGCTGCTTCAATTTGTTCATTTTTCTTTTTTTGTTTGGGATTTTGGAAGTTGAAGGCTTTGTTTGTTTCTCGTATTAGACTAATGATGATGACATGGTTATGTGTCGTTATTGTTGTACATGGTTTGAATGCACTTATTTATGAGAGAAGATGGATTTTTGGATTTTTTTTTTCTTTTGATGTATTCAATTTGTATTATGTTATCATTTGTCATTTGATGAGTTGTGCAGTTTTTTTTTTTTTGGGTGCATATCAGCAAAGACGGTAGTAATGATGTAGTTTTATATTATTTTTTTTTCCAAATTTTTTAAATTTATTTTGTAGATCTCTTTGCAAAAAGAGTTTGTATTTGCACCTCGCTAATGGTTCTATACCTTATGCATCACATGAGATATAGATCAAAGGCATATAAATTATATGGCTTAGTCACACAACCATTTGAAAATAACTTATAACTTATGTTTGTCGATGAATATGAGTCATTTTCTTGTTTATATCGGAACAAACATAGACATGAACATTATGTTTAGGTATGAATGTAGGCCATTCACATGTGGTTAGTTCTTATAATATGGTTTTCTAACCAACCTTTACGACATGGCTTGCCTAAGTATTAATGTGTTTAGACATTGTTTGACAGAGTTTAAAAATTAACTTTTAGGTGGTGGCTTGTTTATGAATTATATATACTATTAATTGCTAAAATGGTGGTGAACAGGAAACTTTTGCATTTCTCATTTGTGCCCCTTTTTTTCCTTCCTTTCCTACTTTCACCACATACGCTTTGTGTTTTAAAAGCTTATATTTTTTTATTCACACCGCCTTCAAAATTGGGTAAGCTTTATCTTTTCCACCGGCTTAAACATTTTCTAGACGTTCTCTTCTAATTTCCCTTTGTGATTCTCGCTTTCATTGAAGAAAAATCCGTTTGTCGTTCTCACTTTCATTGAAGAAAAAAAATCGGTTCGTCCCTTTGTTGCGATTATCTGTTCTTCTCTTCTGCGGCCTTTGTTTTTTGTTTTTTAGGTTTGTCTGCTTAGGTTTCCACCCTACACAGAGGGAATAGATCGAGACGGAGGGTTTTTCTATTCGACTATGGTTCAGTGTGAAACAGTGCCGACAGTCCGATGGGAAAGAAGCACACGAGATCTGAATCACCGTCTTCCTAGCCATCGCCGGTCATCGTGTGTTCTATTCAGGTAATAGATCAAGAGGTTGATGGATTTTAGTTCCAAACATATACATGGACTGACAAACTTCTCAATTTCTACAGTGGAGGTTCGATTGAGATCGATTGTAGTTCGAATTTCAGAAAAAAAAAGACACACACACATCAAATTGAGCTATGGTAAGTCGATTCTCAGGAATTTTAAGATTGTTATGATATCGGATTCTGTTTTTCGGTTATTACATTGAATTTGGACAACTGGGTTTACGTTTTTATTATGTTTGCATTTTAGAGGCGTATTTCATCTGGGATTTCAAAGTGAATCGATTTGGGTGACTGTTGGGTGCCTTTACACATGATATTTGTATATCCGTTTTTTTTATTTTTCATTCTCTGGTTTAACTCCTCCGTTGCACGATTGCTTTTGCGCCATAATAGACTTTGATTCTTTCTTCCTTTCAGAATGGGTCGCAAAGGAGGCGGTGGCAGGGGTTTTGTGCTCATATGGAGTTGAGTTTTTTTTCCTGTGTCGTGCTTCTTCGATATCTGCTTCAATTTTACCTTCTACTTTCATTGCTGCTTATTTTATGAATAGAGGAGGTAAGCATTCACTCTATTTTTTGTGTTTCAGTTTGGAAAAAGTTCTGCTAATACCTGGGAAAGCAAATAAGCAGGAAATGACAATAATGCCCCTCTATTGAATATTAGTTAATGGTTCCTTCCTTTTAAAACTTTGATGGAATGTGGAAAGGTTAGAATTCAAATCCTTAGAATGATTTGATTTAAAGTGTTTGTTACTCTGGTCTCAACCAACACCTATCAAATCAAGTTTCTCAAACTTCAAAAACTATGCGTTTGACTTATCTATTGCAAATTATTTTGAATTAGGTAATGCATATTATGTCGAATTAGGTAATGATTTAAAATAAGGCGAGATTTCCGTTTGTGGTTTAGATAAATTGCTGTTAGCTCTCTCGATTCGTCTGTTTCAGTTGTGTTTGATGATTAGCAATGTTGTAAAAATCGCTCGATGGTAGCTCGACGGTCGACTGGTGTTAAGGGATTAATCGATCTTGGCGGGGATTAATCGGGGACCATAGATTATTAATAAACTATTAAAATTAATTAAATATTAATATATATCTTAAGAAAAACAAGTACTTCAAAATTAGAAAATAAGAAAAAATTGTAATTTGAAAATTTGGAAATACGAAAATATGAACATTTTGGTATAATATTTGAAATTTTGTAAATTTTGGAGTAAAATAAAGGGCTAATGACATAAAAGTCCTTGAGTTTTTAAGAAATGTTTGGTTTTACCCTTTGATGACTTTTAGGTTTTCATTAAAGCGTGAAGTTTATGTAAAAATTTACATTATCACCCTTTTAGGTTACCCGGTTACCTCCTAAAGAGGTGTCCCGCCACATAAGCATTGTTGGGCTCTTTTAGAAGACATGGCGATGATTAGGCGCTGACAGCACCTTCTCTAATTTAAAAAGAGACCAATTCAGAAGAACAAACGCCAAGGGAATCGAACACGGGAACTCCCCAACCAAACCCATGCGCCTTACCACTAAGCTGCATCGACTTTTGGTGAAACACTCCTTCCGTATTGTATATAATATACTTCGCTGATATTACAATTATTAACCCTTTGATTATTATTATTTTTATTTTCAGTAATATATTTAATTTTTTTAAAATTAAATTTTTTTTTTTGACATTTTTTGACCTTATTTTTGACTTTTTTCCGACTTTTTGACTTTTGTTGACCGATTAATCCCGTCAAAACCGATTAATGCCCTAATCCTTAACGGTTGGAGAATGCCAAACTATTAATCCATGATTAATCGTCGATTAATCCCGATTTCTGCAAAGTGGTTTAATGCTTTACGCAGCTCTGATTGTTTTGAATATCTAATACTCTCTACGTCGTCAATCTCTGATAAAGCGGGAAAACGAGTAGAGAGATAATTCTTCGTTGTTATATCATTGGTATAACTAATGATTTAAGTAAAAGCTTTGGATTATCGATTTCTGTGCACCTGGTATTTTGATAAATCGAGATTTCTAGTATGTATGCTCAATTTCAGTCAGACGTTCTAATTAGGTTATTGTTGCAGAAATCGATGGTAAGGATTGGAAATGATGATGTTGCGACTGTAATCGAGGCGGAGGAGACAGGTATATCTTCTAAAAAACTACTTAATGTAAAATTCTCGTGATCCTCGGACTGTAAAATTTGATACGGTAAACACTGTTGATCGTAAACGATAGAGAATAAGGGAATTAGGAATAGCGATTAGGGTTTTGGTATGGATTTAAGTTTCATTTTGAGAGTTAATAATGGTTTGAATTGCAGATTTCGAGGAAAGGATGCGTCTCTTTAAGATGTATCTTCACGAGACCTGGGCTCTGCTTTTTTCAGCTGTGTAGAAGTTCGTAACCATGCCAGCAGCAGCTGGTATGACCACTTTCGGACTGTTTAAGGTGCTAGGTGTTCTTGTGGTACTCATCTTCTTGTCTCTGGAACTGTCCACACCAGTGTTCTTCAAGCTTGTGCGAGATATCTTTGGTTTTTTTGGGTGGCTCAAGTCCATCATCAACTCTTTGGACGATGGCAGGTATTATGTCTAACTAGCTAGGTGGGAAGAACTCTCAGAATAAATAAATCTTGATAATATGTTAGTCTTTTGGTAAATTTGGTTACTATAAATCTTGATTTTGCAAGTCTCTTGCCCTTTCGGTTAGTATTACTATTGCTGGTTTGTGCTTAGAATTTTTGCCCTATGTTTTGTAATTTTGGATTATCATTCATTCGATTGCACCAATGTTGTGCTTTATATTGAAAATGCCTTTTATTACTATTACATTTCTTGGTTTGTGCATAGAATTCTTGACCTACATTTTGGTAAACTTTAGATTCGTTACAAAATTTCATTTTCAACCAAAACTCAATTTAAAAAAAAAAAAAAAAAAAAAAACTCATATTATAAGAAATGGAAAAATCAGATTTCCATTTTGTGCTTCTAACAAACAAACCTTTTGAAGGCAAAAACAGTGCATATAGGATACAAAGCCACAATGCTCCATAATCTAATATTTGGATGACGAAAAAAAGTTGCAAATAACTATCCCTTTCTCGACCGTATTATGATCGTCTGATGTTTACCTTCCTTGCAAAATATTTTATGATACAAATACCTCCCCAATGAATCAGAATATTCATTTGGTGTTCAATTTTGTTTACCCTCAATGTTCTTCCGTTCATGGATCTAGTCTTTACCACCCTCCTAAGAATTGTTATGGGTTATGCTAGAGCAAGGCCTTTCAACCCCGTTTAACATGACAACAAAAGAATTAATCAACCTCGTAACTGATTTTAATTATTTATTTAAAAATTATATTTTTCAAATTCCAACAATTTAAAAAGATTATCACATTATAAGATATTTATATTGTAATATAGACAAAAATAAATGCTTATAGTACCATATTTGGATTTTTTTATTTAATATTATAAAAATTAAAGTTATAAAAAAAATAAAATAATTCTCTTGATAAAATATTCGGAAAAAAAGTATTCGGAAAAAGGGAACAAAATAATGTCATGAAAATTTCATTCCGTATTAAGATTTAAACTAAAAGAAGACCCGACACGCCGTTGGTGCGGGTTTTGGATTGATCAGGATAAATGACAATGTAACAATACATTGATATTATTGACAATTAACTTGAA